GGTTGGAATCATTTTTCCACTGGCTTATAAACAAGTTGGGCAAGCCATGGAGCCCTTCTCTATAGCAGAGGTTTTATTTGGGTCTCAGCCCTTGTGTGTAGCCCCTGGGGCGCTTTAAAGAATGCTTACCTGATCTCCACAGGGAGTCAGTTTGGTAGAATGTTGGTGGGTTACCATCCTACATCTCCTTCATCCCCTCCTCCCCATTTCTTGGCTCCCCTGCAGTGCCAGGAAGATATGCTTATTGCATGGTACTTTAGCAAGTAGGTAACAGTAGGTATTAGCAACTACAGCAGACAAAGGGCTTGACTGCTCAGAGGCAAGCTGCTCTCTCACACCACCTGTTGCCACCTGGCTTCTGGATCTCAGACTGGGTTGGGCTTCATCTCACCTTCAGAGACCCCATAGCCCTTGTAGCTACTCTGTGCTGAGTCAGCCCACAGGGCTGAAACCTCGTTCACCTTACCAGCAGGCAGGACCAGATTTCTTTTCCTGACAGTTGCTACCGTTCTCCTCAATTCTGGTTTCCTTCCTCTTTTTTTCCCCTCCCTCCCTCCTTCCTTCCTTCCTTCCTCCTACTTCTGTCCTCCCTTCTCTCCCTCCCTTTTATCTTACCCTTGTTTCCTTCCTTCCTTCCTTCCTCCCTCCCTCCTTCCCTTCCCTTCTTCTATCTTCCCCTCCCTCCCTTCTTTCTTTCCTTCCCTTCTTTCCTCCCTCCTTCTTTCCTTCTGCCTTCCTTTTCAGCTAGTTCACAGTATTCTTTTCCTGTACCACTCCCTATGTGGTGGCCAAGAGTTTGTTCATTGTCTTGTGACACCCGTGATCACAGGGGTGTTTAACAGTGTGTACCAAGCTATGGTCTATCAAATACAAGCCCTCCAAAACTTTTTGTGCAGAAAGACTCTGGGGCTAAATAGCTTTGGGAATCTTGCTTGTGATAAGCCCCACTGTCCATTCCCATAATAAAGTCTTAAAGAAGTCCTTTGATCAAGAACCCCTTGAAACTTTCTTTTCAAGCTCCCCAAACTTTTTGCCAAAGGAACCCTCCTCCTGAGTAGCAGCCACTGACATGCAGTAGAAGCAGTTTCTGTGGGACCCACTCTTGGAAACATCAGATTTGATGCTGTCCGAGGCTGCCTCCAGATCTAGAGTTCTAGTTTATTCATTCCCTGACAGCCCTCTTGAAAGGCCCATGGGCCTTGCATGGCAGGAATGAGGTGCCAGGCAAATAACATTCAGTGGAGGAGGATGGGAGAAGGGGGTTATGGTGGTGAGAAATCCCTGATGGCTGCGAGCCTTTCTGGAGTTGAACCTGGAGGGCGTGAGGATGAGGGACAGGGAGAGGAGTGGGCACTGATAACTATCCCAATTTATCTTTTTGTGTGTGGCCCTGGCTATAGCAGGGATGGTTTTCAAAAGCATTGTTCAGTAGGTATTTTTCACTGAAAAATGTTCTGAGATTGACAAGTAGGATGGGGAGGGCCAGGCTGGTTAATTCTGTGGCATAGATGTGCTCCCTTCTCATAACGGAAAGAACATCTTTAGCAGTCTGTCCAGTGGAATAGGAAAACCATGTAATCAGGATTAGCTGTGAGCTCATACCTCTATCCTAAATGAATGCTCTGTGGGTGAGAATTCATGTAACAGTTTTAATTAAGATAACTGCAGGGGAATGGGAAGGACCCCTTAGTATGTGACGCTAATGAATGGATGACACTTCCCTGCCCCTCCCAGGAAAACGAGACTCGGCCACTAATTGGCGTAATTAGCCCTGGAAGTTAAAAGATTTCCCCCCTTTTTCCTCCTTTCTTTGGCTTTAGAGTGCCTGGGCTTTTTGGTTTTGATTGCTTGGTCACCCCTTCTTTCCTCTATGAAAGGTCAGGTTGCTTTGGCAGCTTGTCTGAACCCCCTTTTCAGATGGTAATTGGGAGCCTGAATCCAGTCCACAGGACTGCACCGCCTGGTTGGGGTTGAAGTTGGAGTCAGAAGTTAGTCTCTGCCTCTTTCAAAACCATTGCTAGGATTGGTTTGAATGTGTTTTTAGGAAGTTCTAGGGTAAGCTTGAATTTATACTTGATAGAAGGCTCTTATCTTTTTTAAAAGAAGGCAGCTCAAAACAGAACAGAAGCATGCAATAAGGTGTATGTTGCTATGGAAATAATTGAATGAAAACTTAATTTCCTACTATACTTATTGACCAGGAAAAAAAGAGAGAGGAGAAAAGGAAAGGGCTTCCTAAGCAGAAACACACTGACTGAGAATGTAATTAATAATAATTGAAGAATATGTCACCCCAAGGGTTTCTCCAAGGAGGCTGATTTCACTGACAGAAATGGCGGCATCCTCTTTCAGCTGCCTCTCTGTGATGGGGGAGAGTGTGCAGGTGAACCCCAGGGACTTGAAGCTCTGAGAAGCCTCTGGCTTGAGCTCTCAGAGAAAGTGAAAAGATGCTTTGTGATTCATGGAGAAACCAGCTCCGGGGCACTGGGGATGCTGCTCTGGAGGGCTTTTGATGCCAGGTTGGTTTAAAGTTCAAAATCCAAAACAAGCTTCTTTGAGAAGTTCCTACTCTAGTAGGTTTCATAGTGAATTCTTTCAATGGTGTTCTATTAAAATTCAAGGACATGAGTCGCATGAAGCATTAGTGGGCAGATTTTTTACATGTTATACAGAAGGAAATGGCACTAACATGATTTATGTCTTCAAATCTTATTCTAATTTTCTATCCCCTTAAATATAGTAATAGATAAGTCTGGGTCATATTTTTGTTTCCCTAATGGTGAGTGCTACTTCTTAATTAATAGTACAACTTCATTTGCATCTGTGTCTGATGGGAGCATCAGCTGATGGGGTTGTCAAGTCATAACTGAGAAGCCCTTTCCACCTTAAGCCAGTGGCAAAGCTTCGCTGCATAATACAATTGCCTGGGGAGCTTTGTAAAATCCCAATGTCCAGGCCACACTCCCAAACCAGTTAAAATAGAATCTAATGGATGGGACCCAGGCATCAGTTCTGTTGTTGTTGTTGTTATTTTTGAGACAGAGTCTTGCTCTGTCGCCCAGGCTGGAGTACAATGGAGTGATCTTGGCTCACTGCAGCCTCCGCCTCTCTGGTTCAAGTGATTCTGCTGCCTCAGCCTCAGCTGGGATTACAGGAGCCAGCCTGCATGCCCGGCTAATATTTGTATTTTTAGTAGAGACAGGGTTTCACTATGTTGGCCAGCCTGGTCTACAACTCCTGACCTCAGGTGATCCACCTGCCTCAGCCTCCCAACGTGCTGGGATTATAGGTGTGAACCACCGTGCTCAGCTCAGTATTTTTTTTAAAGCTCCTCAGGGGATTCCGCAGTGCAGGGTTGACAGCCATTAATGTAGGTGGAGTTAAACAAAACAGTACAGGGCTGGCGGGCCTCCTATGTGATAGTCCATGTTAGAAAAATCCATTTCCCCGCCCAGAACTCCTTCCACATCTTCCTAGGGCTCCATGGTCCCAATGGGGCTAAAATCTCAGGGTCCTTTCTGCCTTCCTTCCAGTGGTATGCAAATGTTTAACAACCCACTCCAGGGAATGAAAAAAGCCCTGATGTGTAGCATGTACTGATTTCCAGATTCTGTAAATACTCCCACCACAGTGTCCTCATCCTACCAAGGGGCCATCACCGAGCATGGAGTTGGGAAATGTGCACAGCCATCTCCAGGCACCAGTGCCTCGTTCCCAGCTTCACAGTTCCTCACCCCTCCTCTGTGTCCACCCTGAGTAGCTCATTCTCCCTTAGGTGCTGTTCCGAGTTTTGAGTCATCTAGAAAAATCCTTTTCTGCTTGTGTGTTACTCTGGCTTTCCCCACTCGGGTAACATAACACCGCTTCCCAGTTACAGTGTAGATAACCTCTGGAAAATACCATGGGAATGTGCCTGAGGCTGGAGATGTTTAGGCAATTGGCATTCTGGGTTATACTTTACCCTGTGAAGCTAAGGCGAATTGTGCTACATACACGGCACATGAGGTTTCTGAGCCCGCAGGGCGGAAAGCCAAGCTCTGAGTCAGGACATACTCACCAAGGTAACAAGGGGACTTCATGGGAGGCAGCCTGCTAGCCTTTGCGGATTGATTGCCTTCACCTCATCACTTCTCTTTCCCCCGCATTACAAAGCACTTTCACATGACTTTTCTTTCTTTCCTTTTTTTTTTTTTTTTTTGAGTTGGAGTCTTGCTCTGTTATCCAGGCTGGAGTGCAGTGGTGCAATCTCGGCTCATTGCAACCTCTGCCTCCTGGGTTTAAGCAATTATCATGCCTCAGCATCCCGAGTAGCTGGGATTACAGGTGCCCACCACCACATCCCGCTAATTTTTGTATTTTTGGTACAGATGGGGTTTTGCCAGGTTGGCCAGGCTGGCCTCAAACTGCTGACCTCAGGTGATCCACCCACCTTGGCCTCCCGAAGTGCTGGGATGACAGGTGTGAACCACCGCACCTGGCCTCACATGACTTTTCTCACTGGATTGCTGCCGTTTACCTAGGAAGGCCAAGCAAATACTATCTTCCAGCTGCAGGTGAAGAATTCTGCCTAAGCTCAGAGAGGTCAAGTGTAGTGACTCACCCAAGTTTGAGCAACTTGCCTAAGCTAGTAGGTGATGGAGCCAGGACCTGAAGCCAGAGCTTCTGACTCCATCCTTACACACACATGGCTCCTGACACACAGCCTTTGTCTACTGGCCCCTTTCACCCAGGTGTGCAGTCTGTCAACTTAGAGAGAGGAGGAAGTAACCCTGCTTTGCAGTCACGTGAATTATTAGGTTGGTGCAAAAGTAACTGCGGTTTTTGCCATTAAAAAGCCTAATAATTTTTTGCGAGTCCTGCTTTGGAAAGCTGTTAGCTGAAATGAAACATGGGCTTTGTGGTCTCTTAAAGAACAAATTCCAAGTTGGTAAATATTAAGTTGGGGCTGTAATATGAATGGCACATGCAGTATGAATGGCTGATGAGCTATGATTCTGCAGAGTCAGAAACAACCTCTGTTGAGATTTCATCGAATCCAGAAGACACCTGGGACTCTAAGACGTGGCTGCGGAAATATGGCTTGAAGGCCCAGAAGCTGTCCCTGTACGATGTCCTTGCTGACTGCTCTTTTCGCCACGCTGATGGGGTTGTAGATATAAAAGCCAAGCCGGAGAACGAGTCTGTGCAGACCAGTGCGGTAGGTGAAGTGCGCTCCCGGGAGGGGGTTGGCCTCCCTCAAGCCCTGGGTGGGTGAGGCCTCCCTCAGGTCAGAAGGCAGGGGAAGAACCACTGTGGGGGGTGGCAGGGACAGAAACCAGCTTGGGTTTCTGTGAAGAAGGGAGTTCCTCTGCTTCTCTCCTCCCCCTTCTCCAAAGAGCATCTGTGGGAGTGGAGATCAAGGCTGGGAATGATTTCTAGACATCAGTGAATTGTACATAAGCCAGGGGCTGGGCTTGGAAGAATGAGGCATTATGAGTCTCAGAATTATTCAATATTATGCAAATAGAGAAGCCCTTTGTTCCCCCATATCGAATGTGAAAAAGAGAAACTGCTGGTTAGTATATCCAACGCTGCAGGCGTTTCTGCAGTCCTCTTGCATTTTCTTTCCCTCGTTATTCCAGTGACTAGCAGCCAGCATACAGTGCAATCCCAGCAAATATGGAATCAGATTCTCCAAAGGACATAGCCACTAAAAACTCTGAAAGCAGCAGTTCCACTGTGGGTTTTATAGGAATGCAGCTTCTCCTACTGCCCTACTCTGGCTCCCGATGAAGGACAGTGCTCGACAGCAGTGCTTCCTAAACTCCACCATCATGCCTAAGAGTCAGTAGTTCCGAAGTGGGGCCCAAGAATTTGCATCCATAACAATCCCCAGATGATGCTGATGCTGGTTCAGGGGCCACACCTTGAGACACAAAGAGGCGTAGAACAGGGGCCAGAAGATGAGGTGTCAAAGGCTTAGAAGCGTGGAAAGACTAAATAGTGTCCCAATATGAACCAGAAATCAGGATAAAATGAACATGGCAGATTTGCAAAACCAAACGAAAGTTCTTTCAGGAGGTGGCAAAGTTCCAGGTATGCACAGTGAAGTGAACCTAAAATGCAAGCCCCGGGCAGACAGGCAGGTGACAGGCAGGTGACCACAGCCCAGGAGAGACACCGGGGAGAGAAAATCAAGGCCCCTCTCAAATACAGTGTCACCTCGTGTATTCATATACAAATGAATACAGTGTCACCTCAAACACAGTGTCACCTCATATATTCTTGAAGGCTCCGATTCAATGGCGAGGTCGTTACTGAGATGTTGTAGCTCCAGCAGAGGTGGAACTCCAGTCCCATTGCCACTTGTTATTAGGCTGGCCAGCCACTGAGCCCCCCACGCCCTCCATGGGAAGGGCACTGTCCTCTGGGGCTATGTGAGCCACACCACATGGTGTTCTTGCCCCCTCGCTGCTATGCATTTATGACAAACTACAAGAAGGAAAATATAAAAATTGAATTAGAAAAACGCAGAATTGATGCAAGACTTGTTTCCTGGCTTACTGGAGGATGCAGAGTAATTGCTACAGTGCAGGGAAAATCTCATTTGTGGGTTTCCTCCCACAGCACAGTTTTCTTGTTTTATAGATGTTATTCAGTAATGTTCAGGAAATCGTATGTAGCTAGATTTTCATTTTTAAAATAGGCCAGGCACAGTGGCTCATGCCTGTAATCCCAACAGTTTGGGAGGCCGAGGCAGGTGGATCACTTGAGGTCTGGAGCTCACGACCAGTCTGGTCAACGGGGTGAAACCCCATCTCTACTAAAAAAATAAAGCCAGGCATGATGACTCATGCCTGTAATCCCAGCACTGTGGGAGGCCGAGGTGGGTGGATCACGAGGTCAAGAGATGGAGACCATCCTGGCCAACATGGTGAAACCCTGTCTCTACTAAAAATACAAAAATTAGCTGGGCATGGTGGCGCATGCCTGTAGTCCCAGCTACTTTGGAGGCTGAGGCAGAAGAATTGCTTGAACCCGGGAGGCAGAGGTTGCAGTGAGCTGAGATCGTGCCACTGCACTCCAGCCTGGTGCCTGGCAACAGAGCAAGACTCTGTCTCAAAAAAAAAAAAAAATTAGCCAGGTGTGGTGGCATATGCCTATAATCCCAGCTACTTGGGTGGCTGAGGCAGAACTGAGGAGGTGGAGGTTGCAGTGAGCTGCGATAGCACTATTGAACTCCAGCCTGGGCAACAGAGCAAGACTTCATCTCAAAATAAAATAAAGTAAAATAAAATAAAATAAAATGAATATACATTAGACCTTGGATATTTCAAAATATTAGTCCCCGGCAATTTGAACATAGCTTACTGCAAACTGATGACAATGTGGTATGTTCAAGCTAGCTCTAATATTGATCATCTCGTGTAACTCTTTCTTGGCAATTTTAAATGACATACTGAAACTGGATTCACACCTAAAATTGTGATGTGTATAAAGTAGGGAGAAACTAAGGCTGTGAAATAGGTAGATTATTTAGGGTTCCCCAAGACTCCCACTGGGCAAGACCCCCTAAGTATTTAACAATAAAAACTAGTTTATAGGTTTTATTGTTATAGACCCAGGAAACTCATTAACACTGAGAAATGAATGGCTAAAAAGGCCAGCTTTTGTAGTAGTTCAAAGACAATGAACAATTGGGAGGAGGAGACAAACATGCATTTCTAATAAGGGAATTTCAGGCCAAGTCCAAGAACTTGATATTTTGGGCACCCCTGAAATCACACTGCATGCACAGTTGCTTGCTGCTTGTGCACAAAACCAGCCCTTATGTTCAAAAACCCATTCTTATCTCTTCATCAAATTTTCAAACAAGTATTTATGGAGCCCCTACTATGTACCAGGCCATGCTATATGGCAGAAGGTGCACTGGATATGGATGAGAAGTTCTAGCTATAAATGCTGCTTCCACTAGTTACTGATGACGAGATGTTGAACAAATCACGTGACTTCTTTGACTTCACCCTTCATATTTGTGAAACGGGTAGTGTGAAGTGCAAATTTACAAATGCATGTCTGAGCACGGTGCCTGGCACATAAAGAGATGCCCCACACTTTTTGATGGGGTTGTTCATTGTTGTTGTTGTAAATTTGTTTAAGTTCTTTGTAGATTCTGGATATTAGCTCTTTGTCAAATGGGTAGACTACAAAATTTTTTTCCCATTCTGTTGGTTGCCAGTTCACTCTAATGATAGTTTCTTTTGCAGTGCAAAAGCTCTTAAGTTTAATTAGATCCCATTTGTCTATTTTGGCTTTTGTTGCTAATGCTTTTGGTGTTTTAGTCATGAAGTCCTTGCCCATGCCTATGTCCTGAATGATATTGCCTAGGTTTTCGTCCAGGGTTTTTATGGTGTTAGGTATTATGTTTAAATCTTTAATCCATCTGGAGTTAATTTTTGTATAAGGTATAAGGAAGGGATCCAGTTTCAGGTTTCTGCATATTGCTAGCCAGTTTTCCCAACACTATTTATTAAATAGGGAATCCTGTCCCCGTTGCTTGTTTTTATCTGGTTTGTCAAAGATCAGATGGTTGTGGATGTGTGGCGCTACTTCTGAGGCCTCTGTTCTGTTCCCTTGGTCTATATCGCTGTTTTGGTAACAGTACCATGCTGTTTTGATTACTGTAGCCTTGTAGTATAGTTTGAAGACAGGTAGTGTGATGCCTACAGCTTTGGTTTTTTTTTTTTTTTTTTTTTTTTTTTTTTTTTNATGCTGTTTTGACTACTGCAGCCTTGTAGTATAGTTTGAAATCAGGTAGCGTGATGCCTCCAGCTTTGTTCTTTTTGCTTAGAATTGACTTGGCTATGCCAGCTCTCTTTTGGTTCCACATGAAGTTTAAGGTGTTTTTTTCCAGTTCTGTGAAGAAAGTAAATGGTAGCTTTTTTTTTTTTTTTTTTTTTTTTTCTTTCAGAATATACACTACTGGTTATCCTCCCACCTTGCTAGCTATTTTTTCTCAGTCTTCTTTGTGACTTCTTCCCCATGTTCCCAACCTGTCAATGCTGGAGGACCTCCGATCACTTCTCTGTCTACCCTCATTTCCCAGATGGTCTTCTCCAGTCCCATGGCTTTTAATCCTCTGTGCATGCCAAGGACTTCAAAATGTACCCCTCCAGCCCTGCGACCTTCTCTGATCTCCCAACTACTGCTGTGCTACTTGGATGTCTAATTGGCACCTTGAACCTGAGACATCAGACGCTAACTCTTGATCTTTCCCATTCAAAGCCGCTCTCCCACAACCTTCCTCCTATCAACTGATTGCAACTCCACCCTTTCAGATCCCAGCCTGAAAACCTCAGGGTTGTTCCTGACTCCTCTCTTTTCTTGTATATGCACATCTGATCTCTCAGTGAACACTGTCGGTTCTGTCTTTAGAACAGGCCTGTCATTCAGGATCTGACCGCTTCTTGCCATGGCCTTTGTTGCCCAGGCCATGCAACTCTGTGACCTACTGGCTCTTCACTTCTGCCCTTGGTCCTCAGCAGTCCAGTCAGCTTTACAGAGTAACCAGAGTTGCGCTGTGAAACCATAAATCAGACGTGTCGCTGCTCTTGTGAAAGCCCTGGGAGGAGTCCTTTTTTACTCAGAGCAAAAGCCAGGTCATTTCCGACAGCTGTCAGGCTTTATGGGACCTGCTTCTGGCCCTCCTCTTTGTGTGTCCCGGCTTCTCTCATTCTCTCTTCCCTCCCTCACTTTCCTTTGGCAATATTGGCCTTCCTAAAATTTGACAAGCATGCCGGGCAGACTCCCAGCTCAGGCCTTTGCTGTTGCTATGTCTTCTGACCTCCCCCCGGCCTCCCTATGGCCACACTCTGTTCCTCCAGGCCTTCACTCCTAGTGCACATCTCTGGGAGGCTTTCCCTGCAAGGTTCTAACTCCTCCCGTCTCTCCCCTCTTCCTCTGCTCTCTGCTCTTCCTCCTTGCCTTACTCCACGTGTCATCCTCTGACCTAGTGTGTCATGATTTGCTTATTACTGGGCTCCCCTCCTGCACTGTCAACTCCATGAAGGCAGGGGTTTGGTCATTGTGTGTGTTTGTATTCCTGGCATCTAGAAGGTCTCCCAGCGGGAGGAGCACTGGTTGAGTGCCCATGGGCTGAGTGATGGAGTCCTACTGAGGAGGGCTCGCTCCATCTGTCCTGAGTGTGCTAGATGTGCTGCAATGGGGTTCTTGGCAGGAAAATAGGATTCATGTGAGTTTCAGTCCCACCTCCTCCAGAATGCTCCATGACCATCTAGTTACTGTGAGATCGGCTGCTCTCTTTTCTTTACCAGGACTTGCCAGGTCTTTCCTGTGTCAACCCAGTTCCAGGGACTGAGTATCTAATTCTCTGCATTGCTACCTCTCTCTCTTTCTCTCTCTCTCTCTTTCTCTGTATGTGTGTGCATGTGTGTGTTGGTGGGGGTGTCTTTGTGCTGGAATCATTAGGTTTTCTGGGGCACAGATGTGATCACACGTGTCTTTCTGGCCCATGTTCATCATACCTAGTGCAGGGCTCCATAGGGAGCAGGCAGCGGAACGTATTTGGTTGAACTAACAAACGAATGATTGACAGTAGAGTGAGTGCTAAGAGCCATTTGAATATGATAGAGCTGGAGGTGCCATCTGGAGACTCTTCTCATGGACAGTTTCTGAGTGGCTTCTGTCCTTTGTCCTCTCCTTAGGAGACCAGCAAGAAGACAGTCCATGCAAAATATTGCAGCAGATTTGTCCATGCTCCCTGGAAGGATGGGAGCTTGGTGCACGTCAGCATTACCAAAGAGAAATGCAAGTGGTACAGTGAGAGAATCCACACAGCCCTGGCCCGGATCCGAAGGAGGTTGGTGTTATTTGCAGGATGGTACAAGTGGTCTCCTTGCTCTGGAAATTCACATCTGCTTGATTTTTTTTCCTCCCTTTTGTTATTAGCTGACACATAATGATTGTACCTATTTATGTGATACAGAGTGATAATGAGATGTGTGTATACAATGTATAAAGATCAAATCAGGGCAACTCACATATACATCACCTCAAACACACATCATTTCTGTATGTTGTGAACATTTACAATTCTCTCATTTCACTTTTTAAAAATATATACTAAATTACAGCTGACCATATTGATCCTCTAGTGCTGCGGAACACCAGAGCTTGTTCCTCCTACTTAGCCAGACTTTCGTATTCACTAACCAACCTCCCCATCCTCTCTCTCTGCCTTTCCCAGCCTCTAATACAATTCTACGCTCTACCTCTATGTGTTAGATATTTTTAGCTCCCACATATGAATGAGAACATGTGGTATTTATCTTTCTGTGCCTGACTTATTTTGCTTAACATAATGTCCTGTAGGCTCATCCATGCTTCTGCAAAGGACAGAATTTCATTCTTTCTTATGGTTGAGTAGTACTCAATGGTGTATAAATACCAGTAAAAGCTCAACTGAGAGAAAGTGCCACCAAACGTTGTTAAGGTTGCCATCTGATGGTTTGCTCATAGCCTTATTTTTAAAAAGGGGGTTGTTTGGATTCAGATTCCCAGCTGCCTTGATGCCAGTGCAGTTTATTAAAAACAGCAAGCAAACGTGAAGCTGTCACACTGGTCACGTGTTGCCGTAGGAGGCCAAGGAATCCTTCTATTTCATACCTTCCATTCTTTCCTAGGCCACACTGTATTACCCACTGTGTTACATATTTCCTGTGTACTCTTGAATATTACATTTTGAGGCAACTGTTATAATGTAAAATCTTAAATACCATTGAATAATATCTGCATTTTAGAATGCAGGTTAAAATCACTTCATGTGATCCGACACAATCCTGCTGGGCCTTTAAAATGTGTTAATGCTCATGAGTGTGGATACTAGTGCTGTGACCTACAGTTGGCCTCAGGGGGATGATCTATCTTAATGCCTGCTCCTCCCAGAACCAAAGGCAGCTTTACACCAGAAGACCAAAGTCATTAGATCATAGGCTCTGAGGTCAGAGAGAGCTGGATTCTAATCCCAGAACTGCCACTTACTGTGTGACCCTGGGCACGTTTGTTAATGCCTTTATGCGTCATTATCCTTGTTTATAAAGTGGGATTAGTAATATTATTTATAAGTTTGTTCTAGGGATTAGATCAGATACTAAATCTAATGAGTTTAAGCTAGTATTGGTATGAAATAGCTATTTGAAAATGAGAGCTCCTTTCTGTGCCTGGCTTATTTCACCTAACATAATTTACTTCGGTTTAATCCATGTTGCCACAAATGAGAAGATTTCATTCTGTTTTACGGCTAACTAGTATGCCATTGTGTATGTGTGTGTATGTATATATACACATACATGCGTACACATCATGTTTTCTTTATTCATTCTTCATTAGATGGGCATTTAGGTTGATTCTATATTTCTGGTACTGTGAATAGCACTGCAATAAATGTGTGTATGTCAGGGTCTCTTTGACATGCTGATTTTATGTCCTTTGGAGATATACCTAGAAATGATATTGCTGAATCATGTAGTAGTTCTGTTTTCACTTATTTTTTTAAGGGACCTCCAGACTGGCTTCCATGATGGCTGTACTAATTCATATTCCCATCAACAGTGTATAAGACCTCCCTTTTCTCTACATCCTTGCTGGTATTTTTTTTTTTTTCGTCTTCTTGATAATAACTATTTTAGCTGGGGTAAGGTGCTATCTCTTTGTGGTTTTGATTTGATGATTAGTGCTATTGAACGTATTTTCACAAACCTGTTGGTTTCATATATTTGTATGTCTTCTTTTGAGAAATGTCTGTTCAAGTCTTTTGTCTATTTTAAAATCAAATTATTTGCGGGGTTTTCTTTCTTTCTTTCTTTTTTTGCTGTTGAGTTCTTTTATAACCTAGATATTATCCCCTTGTTGAATGCATACTTTGCAAATCCTTTCTCCCATTCTGCAGGTTTTCTCTTCACTTTATTGATGATTTCCTTGGCTGTGCAGAAGCTTATTAGTTTGAGGTAATCCAGCTTGTCTGATTTTGCTCTTGCTGCCTGTGCTTTTGAGGTCTTATTCAAAAAATCCCTGTCCAGTCCAATTTCATGAAGTGTTTCTTCGTCTTCTTCAAACATCACATGATCTGACCCATATGTGGAATCTAAAAAAAGTGGTTTCACATAAGTAGACAATAAAATAGTGGTTTACGAGAGGCTGGGGAGATGGCAGTGGGGAGGTGAAGGACCAGGGGAGGTTGGTCAATGTGTACAAAGTTATAGTTGGACAGGAAGAATAAGTTTTACTGTTGTACTACACAGTAGGATGACTATAGTAAAAAACAATGTAGTGTACATTTCAAGAAGCTAGATAAGAAGGTTTTGAATGTTGTTACCGCAAAGAAACAATAAATGTTTAAAGTCATGGATATAGTAATTACCCCAATTTGATTATTATATGCTATATACATACATTGAAACATCATATTATACTCCATAAAATAGTTATACAGTTTATGATGTGTCAATTATGAATAAAAATTAAATTTTAAAAAGAAGGAAAATCAGAGCTCCCTTCCTCCTCCTGTGTTTTCTATTACAAAATCACAAGGTGCAGACACCCTTCTGCCCTGTATTTACCCTAAGAGTGCCAGCCTCTCAAAACCAGATGGTAATGGGTTACTCAGAACAAGAAATCCCTGTGTCTGGTGTCTTCTCTGCTTGTAGTTTTGGAGCTGACTCAGTGGAGCGAGTCATTGGGTTTCAGGTCTGGGAGAGAGGATGCTTCTGGGAAAGCAGTTCACATGGCAGCTGCCGGGCCCATTCGTCCCCCTCCTCCTGCCAGATGTCAGGGATCACTGGGAAGTTTTCTTCCTCTTCTATTTTCTGGAAGACTTTGTGAAGAATTGGTATCATCTCTGCTTTAAATGTTTGGTAGAATTCACCACTGAAGCCATCTGAGCCTGGAGTTTTCTTCCTTATGGGGAGGTTTTTAACAATACATTCAATTTCTTTAAAAGCACAGAGAGCTAATACTGATAATTTTTGTCATCTTTGTGTCATCAAGAAGAGCTTTGAGAAAGCTATGGATTGGCTTAGATGACCAATTTGAGATCTTTCTTTCTTTATAATGCAAGAATTTAATTTTATATATTTCTCTCTGAGTATTTCTTTAGCTGCTTTTCGCAGATTTTAATATATTGCTTTTATTTTCAGTCACTTTAGAATATTTTCTAATTTTCCCCATCATTTCTTCTTTGACTAAAGGGTTATTTAGAAATGTGTTGTTTAGGCTGGGCACAGTGGCTCATGCTTGTAATCCCAGCACTTTGGGAGGCAGATCGGAAGGTCAGGAGTTTGAGACCAGCCTGGCTAACATAGTGAAACCCTGTCTCTACTAAAAATACAAAAAAGTAGCCGGATGTGATGGTAGAGTGGGTGCCTGTAAGCTACTCAGGAGGCTGAGGCAGGAGAATCACTTGAACCCAGGAGATAGAGGTTGCAGTGAGCCGAGATCCTGCCATTGCAACCCAGCCTGGGTGACAGTGCAAGATTCCATCTCAAAAAAAAAAAAAAAATATGTTGTTTACTTTCCAAATATTTGTGGATTTTCCTAATACATCTTGTTACTAATTTCTGTTTTAAATTCACTGTAAACAGGGAAATACTGTGTGATTCAATTCTTATAAATTTATTGGGACCTGTTTTGTAGTACAGATCTTGGGGAAAAATAATCTGATTTTGTTGGGTGGAATGTACTACATGTATCAATTAGCTCGAGTTGGTTGATAATGTTGCTCAAGTCTTTCATATTATTACTGAATTTCTCTAGTTGTTCTATAAATTATTGAGAAAAGAGTGTTGAAATTTCCAAATGTAGTCTTCAACTCTCATTTCAGTTCTGTGTGTTTTTTCTTCATGTGTTTTGAAGGTCTATTAATAGTTTCATGTATATTTAAGAGTGTTATGTTCTCTTGATGAACCAACTCCTTTGTAATTATGAAATATCCCCTTTTATATCTCTGGTAATATTGCTTCTTCTGAAATTTATTTTGATAGCAGTTTAGCCACCCTTCATGATTTTTTATTATTCTTGTTTTCTATCATTTTATCTTTACTTGTCTGCATCCTATATTTAAATGGATTTCTTACAGACAGAAGATATATATTTATATATATGAGCATTGTTTCATTAATCCAAGCTAACAATCTTTGCCTTTTAACTGGAGTGTTAAGATCTTTTACATTTAAGGTGATTATTGATTTGACTGGATTTAAATCTAAGATTTTGCTATTTGTTTTCTGGTTTTTGTTCCCTTTTTACTTGTTTTTTGCCTTCTTTGGTTTGAGTATTTTTTATTATTACATTTTATCTCCACTATTGTATTATTAGCTCTACCTGTTTTGTTGTGTTTTGATGTATGTGTGTGTGTGTGTGTGTGTGTGTGTGTGTGTATGTGCACGCGCATGTCTATTTAGGATTTACAATATGCATCTTATCAGTCACCCTACAAATAATATTATATAACTTCATGTAAATTATAGGAGTCTTACAACTTTCACTCCCACTTCTGTCCTTTCCACTGTTGTACACTTTACTTCTACACATCCTTTTACAATACAATGTAACTAAACAGTCAATTGTCTTGTAGCTACATTAAAAATTATAATAGATGTATTTCATATTTAACCACATACTTGATATTTCTGTTGCTTTTTACTCCTTTGTACTGCACCAGATTTCCATTTGGTATCATTTTTTTTCCACCTGAAGAAGTTTCATTCATATTTCTGGCAGTGCAGGTCTGTTGGTGATGAATGAGCTGTTTTAGTCTGAAAAACTCTTTAATTTACCTTTATTTTTGAATGATGTGTTTGCTAAGCATAAAATTCTGGCATTACAGTTCTATCTTTCAGTACTTTGAAAATTCTTTTCCATTGTCTCCTGGCTGGCATGATTTATGATTAGAAGGCTCCTGTCATATTTTTGCTTGCTCCTCTACACATAATGTCTTTGGACGCTTTAAAAATTTTTCTATTTATATATAGATTTTATCAATTTTATTGAGGTAAGCCTGGGTGTAGTTTATTTTTCTTCTTCTTGGGTTCTTTGAGCTTCTTGGATCTGTAGGTGCCGGATTTTGATCCAAATTAAAACATGTTGGTCATATTTTTTCAAATATTTTTCCTGTCTCTCCCTCTCCTCTTCTTCTTAGACTTTAATTACACATATGTCAGACTCCTTGATATTGTTCCATGGGCCAGCCACTAATTCTCTCTGATGAAAGTACTTTTGTCTTTTTTCTCTCTGCAAATTGTTTAACTTCAAATTGTTCCCTTTGCTTTGTCTTTTGTTCCCTAATCTTTTCTTCTCCTAATGTCTAATGTACTATTAATACCATGCAGTATATTTTAAATTTCAGATGCTCTATCTCTCTACAAGTTTTATTTGGGTCTATTTAAGTATCTTCTATTTCTCTCCTCATTCTATTTATACTTTACCTTTTTGACCATATAAGTTATTTTTGTAATAGCTGTGTAACATCCTTTTCTGCTAATTCTATCCTCTGTGTCATTTTGGGGTCTGTTTCTGTTCATCAATTTGTCTTCTTGTTATGGATCATATTTTCCTACTTCTTTGTATGCTGGTAATTTTTTATTGGATGCCGGGCATTTTAACTTTACTTTGTCAGGTTCTGGATTTCATTGTAGTTGTATATATGTTCTTAATGCAGTTAAGTTCCTTAAAACCAGTTTGATCTCTCTAGGAATTGCTTTTCAGTTATGTTAGAATAGATCCGGGGTAGCCTTTAGTCCAAGGCTACTTTGGTCCTTGTACTAAGGCAATACTCTTTTCAGAATGCTACTTGGTGCCCCATGTATTAAGGAGGTTTTCCCACTCTGGCTGGTAGAAGATGAATGACTCCTAGCCATGTGTGAGCTCTGAAGGGTTGATCTGCCTACTCCTTTGGTGATTTCTTCCTTGGCTTCAGTAGCTTTTTCACATGCATGCCTTGATCATTACTTAACCAAAATTTCAAGGGCATCCTTCTGCAGATCTCTGGCCCATGCATGCTCTCTCTCTATCTCTCTCTCCTCTCCTCTCTCCTGTGCAGTAATGTCCTTTCAATATTTTGCCATTCAAATTTTAGTTTCTTAGGCTTTGCTGAACTCTGAACTTAATTCAAATATTTTTTCCATCCTCTTTCCTCACCTCCACCTCCCAGGCTTTGCCTGTGGCCGCAAATTTTATTTATTTACATCCTGTGATGGGAACTTGAGCATGGACCATAGAAGCAGTTCTTCTCACATAGCCACCTGGCCCTTGGTTATTACAGAGCTCTGGGGATGCTTGATGCTGTCCATAACCTTCACTGAATCTTCAGGAATGTGCTGGCTTCACTAGCTTGACTGCAGTCAGTCAGATTAGAAGAACAAATGGTCTGAAGTCATAGCTGAGGTCCTTAAAATATCAGATGACTAGAAGTAATATATTTTGACTTTGGCACCTGTGATGGATTTATTTTTCTGTCATATTTATTTTCTTAGTTTTGTTTTATACTTGGTTTGGTGATGGGTAGTGCATTCTACAGCTCAAATGTAGGATTTTCTACAGAAAAACCTCAAAGTGAATGATCCACTCACAAAAGATTGGATATAAACAACATAGCACAGCTCTGTCCTCTGCAGATGCATCATTAAGTTCTCGGGAAGATGCTCTTGTTACTTGCAGGCTCTCACCATTCACTTTCAACCTACTTCCTGTCTAGGATTAAATGGCTACAGGATGGGAGTCAAAGCCTCTTTGGAAAATTGCACAATGATTGCATCTACATTCTCATTGACACGTCTCACTCAATGAAGAGCAAACTGGATTTGGTGAAGGACAAGATCATTCAGTTCATACAGGTTAGATGGAACTGTCAGATTCATGCATTTACGGTTTTGTGTATCATAAATGGATCACCATGAAGCATCGCCTGTGATGGTTATGAGCAGTGGACAGGGGCTTGTTGCACTAAAAAGTCCCTAAGAAACTCAAATTCAGAGAAAGACTCCCTTTTGCCAGTTAGAGAATCATCAATTCACCTTTACAAATAGACCCTTTCTCTGGTGAATTCTTTCTGCCATGCATGAGTTGCTTAAGGGAGTTGCTATATTCGTTGTTCAGGTTTTCTCTGTACTGAAATTGGTGGTATACACACACTTCCGTTGTCTTCCAGATACTCCTCATCTTAGCACTTTTAATTTCAAACGTTGATTAGGGATACTGTGTGCCCTGGTGCCTGGGAGGAGTGTAGGCTGGTGTTAGAAGCTTCCAGTTTTTATTCTGCCTTTGCTGCCTCTGAGCTGTGTGTCCTGAAGCAGGTTGCTCAAGTGCCCTAACTCCTAGTGTCCACACCTGCCAAATGCCATCACAGTACTGTGTGAGTTTGCAGTATTGATGTAAGTAATAACCGTAGAAATAATAGTGGGGAGCGTCTGAGAAACACAAAATACATTTTTTAATTTAACAAAGCTCTGCTGGAGAAATATGAGCAAGTGAATAAAGTTGTAACTGAATAATAGCTTTACCCAAAAGATAATGACTGAAGTGATGATATTGTTTTAGATTTTGTTTCCTTAAGCATATTGTGTTTGGTGTGCTTATTTGGTATATTAGTATTGTTAGTATTAAAATCAATATTTAATGTCACATATCTATAAACTTTTACATGTATGTGACATATATAATGTATATTCATACAACCATATATACATTTGTAAAGGTCTTAACACAAAAACTGGATAAATTTTATTTAAATGCCCTTGTACTAGATAGGATATTCTCTATTGAATATAATTTTTTGCTTCTTGAACTGAAAATAGATATCACAGTTATTAAAATATATCAAACTGTGACCTACCCTAACCCTTTCTTACATCTGAGTGGTTTTATGGTTAAATAATCACTGTTTCTTTTAGGAACAGCTGAAATATAAAAGTAGGTTTAATTTCGTGAAGTTTGATGGTCAAGCAGTTGCTTGGCGGGAACAACTTGCTGAAGTCAATGAACAGAATTTGGAACAGGCTCAGTCCTGGATTAGAGACATGAAGGTAAGATGGAGACTAAGCTAGGAGAAGCCTAGGGGTCTCTCACCTGTGTACTGAATTTATTCACAGGACAGACATTCTTGAGAGGTGTTTGGCATTCCCAGGATGGAAGTGGCTTGGCATAGGCTTTCATTTTGCTTGCAATGGTCATGTTAATCCAATCTCATTTGTCAATATCATTTGTCAATATCATAAAGTTTAGACGAGCCTCTTGTTCTTATCTATTCACAGTTCTCTATTTCCAGCTTTGTCCTTGCCTCAGGTTGCAGCCCCCTTATGAAAACACATTTCAGAACACATTTTTGTCTTTTGTTTGTTTGTTTGTTTGTTTGAGACAGAGTTTCACTTTTGTTGCCCAGGCTGGAGTGCAATGGCGCATTCTCGGCTTACCGCAACCTCCGCCTCCTGGGTTCAAGCGATTCTCCTGTCTCAGCCTCCCAAGTAGCTGGAATTACAGGCATGTGCCACCACGTCTGGCTAATTTTTTGTATTTTTAGTAGAGATGGGGTTTCACCATGTTGGCCAGGATGGTCTTGATCTCTTTACCTCGTGATCCACCCATCTCGGCCTCCCAACAGATTTTGTGTTTTTACTCAGACATTCAGATTTGTTTCTTCTGAAATTTCATTATTGTTGCAAAAGATATATTGTAGCCATTCGTATCAGTGGGCTTGTTCAAAAGTAAGGAGCATGTGGAAATATACAGCACAATCTGAATGTTTAGGAATGAACTCAAGAAGAGAGCTAGGGTAGGGGTTGTGGTCAGAAGGTGAATCATTTCCTCAGAAGTGACTGCTTTTGGCATTTATACAGACTATTGGGAAGGATTTTCCTTGCTGTAAATTTTCTTATCTTGAACTTACCTTAATTTTTTATAGCATATAGCATTATAGCATTCCAAATATTTGAGATACACTAAAATTGAGACTAGGAGTTGTTCTTAAACAGTCAAATATAAGAGCTAGACATAGTGGTGCACACCTGTAGTCCCAGCTCCTTGGGAAACTGAGGTAGGAGAATCATTTGACCCCAGCAATTTGAGTCCTGTTTGGGCAACAGAGCAGGCCTCCATCTCTTTTTTTAAAAAAGGCAAATATGTATACACTCTAAATGATATTCTCATCAAGGCACAGAGAGTTAAATGTCTAAATCCCTGTATGTTGACATGAGAATATATTCGTAAACAACACCAGGAACTTTAAAATAGTTTAGTGCCTGAGTTTAGAGTCTTATATTTGACAGAAAATCACAAATAGACATTAGCAGCTCATTGAGATGCACTAGGATTCCTTTGTAATTTGCTTCTAAAAATGGGAAAAGGAGAAAATCTGTTCTATAAGAAATAATAATGTCTGTAAGATTTTAATTTAACTGGTCATCTTATCCTGGGAAATGGTGTCGAATTCATACTCAACTTGTTAAATTTCCAATTAACCAGTGAAGTTACTTGTGACATATGTTTTGCCCTTTTATTACAGAAAAATAGGAAATACCTTGTTAAGTCAAGAGCCTACTAATTTAGGGTTTGTGATAACAAGATATTACATGTGTAATCTCATTGGATAAAAACCATCATTGGGTTCTGCTTTATGTGAAAATCACTAGTGAACAGAGTCAGACATCTATTCAGATTTTAGCCATTTGGCTAAAAACACATATTCCTGTAAAGCATGATGCTGTTCTCCTTACAAATTTTCACTGATACACCCTTGCTAGCTTGTTGAATGTCCAAAATTCATTTTCAAAAGGACCAAGGATAAAAAAAAATGTGGTGTATATACACAATGGAATACTACACAGCTTAAAAAAAGAAGGAAATCCTGTTATTTGCAACAACCTGAATGAACCTGGAGGACACTATATTAAGTGAAATAAGCCAGGCAGAGAAAGAAAAATACCACATGATCTCCTTATATTTAGAATCTAAAAATGTCAAACTCATAGAAGCAGAGAGTAGAATGGTGGTTACCAGGGCCTGGGAGCAGAGTGAAGGGTGGGGATGGGGAAATGTTGGTCAAAGGGTACATAGTTTCGGTTAGACAGGAAGAATATGTTCTGGAGATCTGTTATACAGCATGGTGACTATAGTTAATAACAATGTGTTATATAATTGAAAACTGTCAAGAGAGTAGATTTTTTTTTAACTTGTACTTTAGGTTCTGGGGTACATGTGCAGATCATGCAGGATTGTTGCATAGGTACATACATGGCAATGTGGTTTGTTGCCTCCATCCCCCTGTCACCTATATCTGACATTTCTCCCCATGTAATCCCTCCTCAACCTTCCCACCGCACCCCCCACTGTCCCTCCCCTGGCCCCCTGCAACAGACTCCAGTGTGTGATGCTCCCCTCCCTGTGTCCATGTGTTCTCATTGTTCAACACCTGCCTATGAGTGAGAACATGCGGTGTTTGACTTTCTGTTCTTCTGTCAGTTTGCTGAGAATGATGGTTTCCATATTTGTCCATGTCCCTACAAAGGACATGAACTCATCCTTTTTTATGACTGCATAGTATTCCGTGGTGTGTATGTGCCACATTTTCCTTGTCCAGTCTATCATTGATGGGTATTTGGGTTGCTTCCAGGTCTTTGCTATTATAAACAGTGCTGCAATGAGCATATGTGTGCATGTGTCTTTATAACAGAATGATTTATAATCCTTTGGGTATATACCCAGGAATGGGTTTATAAAAGGATTATAAATCATTTTGATTGCCGGGTCAAATGGAATTTCTATTTCTAGGTCCTCAAGGAAGCACCACACTGTATTCCACATGGTTGAACTAATTTACACTCCCATCAAACAGTGTAAAAATGTTCCTATTTCTCCACATCCTCTCCAGCATCTGTTGTCTCCAGATTTTTTAATGATGGCCATTCTAACTGTCGTGAGGTGGTATCTCAATGTAGTTTTGATTTGCATTTTTCTAATAACCAGTGATGATGAGCATTTTTTCATATATTTGTTGGCCTCATATATGTCTTCTTTTGAAAAGTGTCTGTTCATATCCTTCACCCACTTTTGGATGGGTTTGTTTGTTTTTTTCTTGTAAATCTGTTTTAGTTCTTTGTAGATTCTGCCTTTGTCAGATGAGTAGATTGCAGTTTTTTCCCCCATTCTTTTGGTTGCTGATTCACTCTAATGATTGTTTCTTTTGCTGTGCAGAAGCTGTGGAGTTTAATTAGGTCCCATTTGTCTATTTTGGCTTTTGTTTCCAGTGCTTTTGGTGTTTTAGCCATGAAGTCCTTGCCTATAACTATATCCTGAATGGTTTTGTCCAGGTTTTCTTCTAGGGTTTTTATCATGTTAGGTCTTATGTTTAAGTCTTTAATCCATCTGGAGTTAATTTTAGTGTAAGGTGTCAGGAAGGGGTCCAGTTTTAGCTTTCTCTACATGGCTAGCCAGTTTTGCCAACACCATTCATTAAACAGGGACTCCTTTCCCCATTGCTTATTTTTGTAAGGTTTGTCAAAGATCAGATGGTTGTAGATATGTGGCATTGCCTCTAAGGCTGTTCTGTTCCACTGGCCTATATCTCTGTTTTGGTACCAGTACCAAGCTGTTTTGACTACTGTAGGCCTTGTAGTATAGTTTGAAGTCAGGTAGTGTGATGCCTCCAGCTTTGTTCTTTTTGCTTAGGATTGTCTTGGCTATGTGGGCTCTCTTTTGATTCCATATGAACTTTAAGTGTTTTTTTCCAGTTCTGTGAAGAAGGTCATTGGTAGCTTGATGGGGATAGCATTGAATCTATAAATTACTTTGGGCAGTATGGCCATTTTCATGATATTGATTCTTCCTAACCATGAACATGGAATGTTTCTCCATCTGTTTGTGTCCTCTCTTATTTCGTTGAGCAGTGGTTTGTAGTTCTCCTTGAAAAGGTCCTTTACATCCTTTATTAGTTTTATTCCTGGATATTTTATTCTCTTTGTAGCAATTGTGAATGGAAGTTAATTCATGATTTGGCTCTCTGTTAGTCTGTTATTGGTGTATAGGAATGCTTGTGATTTTTGCACATTGATTTTTTGTCCTGAGACTTTGCTGAAGTTGCTTATCAGTTTAAGGAGATTTTGGGCTGAGATGATAGGGTCTTCTAAATATACAGTCATGTCATCTGCAAATAGAGACAATTTGACTTCCTCTTTTCCTAATTGAATACCCCCTATTTTTTTTTCTTGTCTAATTGCTCTGGCTAGAACTTCCAATAGCATATTGAATAGGAATGGTGAGAGAGCGCATCCTTGTCTAGTGCCAGATTTCAAAGAGAATGCTTCCAATTTTTGCCCATTCTGCATGATATTGACTGTAGGTTTTTCATAGATAGCTTTTATTATTTTGAGATATGTTCCTTCGATACCCAGTTTATTGAGAGTTTTTAGTAAAGGGCTGTTGAATTTTGTAGAAGGCCTTCTCTGCATCTGTTGAGATAATCATGTGGTTTTTGTCTTTGGTTCTGTTTATGTGGTGGAGTACATTTATAGACTTGCATATGTTGAACCAGCCTTGCATCCCTGGGATGAAGCCTACTTGATCGTGATGGATAAGCTTTTCGATGTGCTGTTGCAATCAGTTTGCCAGTATTTTGTTGAAGATTTTTGCATCGATGTTTATCATAGATATTGGCCTGAAGCTTTCTTTTTTTGTTGAGTCTCTGCCAGGTTTTGGTATCAGGATGATGTTGGTCTCATAAAATGATTTGGGAAGGATTCCTTCTTTTTGTATTGTTTGGAATAGTTTCAGAAGGAATGGTACCAGCTCCTCTTTGTACATCTGATAAAATTGGGCTGTGAACCCATCTGGACGTGGACTTTTTTTGGTTGGTAGGCTATTAATTGCTGCCTCAACTTCAACCCTTATTATTAGTCTGTTGACGGTTTCAGCTTCTTCCTGGTTTAGGCTTGAGAGGGTGCCAGTGTCCAGGAATTTATCCGTTTCTTCCAGGTTTACTGGTTTATTTGCATAGAGTTGTTTGTAGTAATCTCTGATGGTAGTTTGTGTTTCT